CGTAAGACGCTGACAAACTACGAACGGGTGAGGGCTAAAATTGCACTTATTGTCGATCATTGTCCATTGCATACTGCATACATAGATATAAAGTATGGTAGCCATAATGGGAAACGAATTTAATCTTAAATTAGCATGCCAATTGCATCTACCTTCGGTGCCGCAGATCCTTTATCAGCGTCTTCAGGGCTATATGTCTAGGGCTGATGTAATTACATTACTATAAATACACATGTTTCTGCCCTTGTTTCACAATCTACTCATTCCAAAGAATGCCATAGGTAAAAAAGATTAACACTTTTCGGTCGAAAAATACCACAAAATCTGTCCCAAACACCCCCCTCCTCCCATAGTGTTTACACAGCGCCGCAGATTCTCGCCCTCACCAACATGGCGGCCGCTGCTACGTATTCGCGAGTCGCTCCCGACATGGGGGTGCCATGGATGAGATAATAATGGATTGGTGTCTTCGCAGTTTTTGGCGACATTGAGCTCAGGCCTGCCATCTAGCGGGAGAATTGTCGTAAGTTAGGAGCAAGCCGAGTGAACGCCGCTGATAAGCATTGTGACACACGGGAGTGTGGTGTAGTAGCAGGCTTGTTTTGCAATTTTTCAAAAGGTTATGTCTTTATATGTCAGTAAAAGCAAAGAAATTAATAGATTTATGTGCAGGGTCAGTAATAAGATAAACAGTTCCATGTTATTTGCTCATTAAATCGTGAAACAGGAAGTTATTGGAGACTTCGCCAGCACGTGTCGTTTTCGCTATTTTTCACATGAGTCTTTACTTGGCCCAAATCAAACAAATTGTCCGATCAAAGAACAAAACGAACGTAAGTACTATCTATAAGTCTAATGAAAAACTTAAACGGAATTGCTAACGTCATTGCCGCTCAATATGTCATTCAAGACGCTCTATGAAAAGGACCCAACCGGTGGTGCGTAGTCGATGAAATTTCAGTAACTTTGGCTCCAACTCCGATTCCGGTACCTATCCAAATATCGACTCCGACTCCTCCGGGCAGAACTGTCAATTCACACGGACTCCTACTCTGACTCCGACTCTGCAGCCCTGGTAAGTCTGTGGAGTGATGACTTTTCGGTGACGTTCGACTCATACTCGGGCTATACAGATTTTAAAAATCAACCGACTTCGAGTCGGAACAGAACCGCTGGCTCTGACTACAAATTCGCAGCCCTGGCCCAAGATAGCCGCCTAAAACAACTTTTATGTGTGATCTTCTTCGTACATTGTTAATGTTATTTTAAACAAGGGGTGGAAAAGGGAGACGAAGCCTTCGTAAACAAGGATCTCCTGTTGCGAATCAATCAGCTACTGGAAAAGAAAGGCATAAACACCACGCATCTCATTTCATCGTTTTCCTAACAGCTCTGCACCAATGTAAGCACTGATCAATGCAGTGCGAGCATTGATGTGACATTTGTGTACCAAGTTTGAGTGTTATCCGCCCAGCCGTTCTTGAGATATGGAAGCGGCACCCCGCACGTGCGCACGTGCAGTAGCACCCCCATAGTGACACATGGAAATGCATTGGCCACTGGGTGCCTAACACTATTGACGAAGTTTTACTGTAATTGGCCCAGCCATTGCGGAGTTACTTTATGTGGAACAATTTCGACACCCCTAAGTTGGCACGTGACACGTGCCGTAACATTAACTAAGATGAAGAAAATCGGGCGAAATTCGGAGAAGAAGGAATAAGCCTACCAAATATGTAAGTGACATATTGTGAAACTGCTGTACCATTGTGAGTAAATGGCCATATAAAAGGTCGTACAAGCCGATGGGACTGGGCGTTTCAATACACACCGTCTTACGCATTTTATTTTCGTTATTACCTAAAGGCTGCTTGACGTTTTTGGCTTTCAAGCATTTAAGACGTTTTTTGTCGTCTCAGGTCCAGTAAGATTACCTCCAACTCGTGGGAATATGCACTTCAAGCCAACTAACACACCACACCCACGTGTGTCATAATGCTGAGAGATGGCGTTCACTCGGCTTGCTCCTAACTTACGATAATTCTCTCGCTAGATGGCATGCCTGATCCCAATGTCGCGGATCCCAATGTTAATTTCCACGAGACACCAATCCAGTGTTATATCATCCATGGGGGTGCCCTATCTAGTCTTTATATCTATGATCTTAGCAATTATCTTGTTTTATATGGCGGTTTTCATTATCACAATATTATTTTTGATATCATGAAGTTTGTATATCTCGGTTTTACGAAAAATAGTAGGGCAACAAAGATAAATTTCGCGAAAAAATAATTTTAGTTGGAAACATCCATTCTGGTATGCAACATTCAGTATGAAGCCCAGTATGGTGACCGTCTACTGTGCTTCCAAGGGTGAGTACCTGATATCAACAGAAGTTGTTTACTATTTTGCCTTACGTTGCTAGGTGGTTGCTAGGGAGCTAGGGATACTCTCTTGCGCGATCATTTGCACTTATTTTTCCTCATTATATCGACATGTTGCTGTTTCTGAGACCTAACTCATGCTAAGAAAAAAGTAGTTTTCTTAAAATGTGTATTTAAGTGCCGTAGTATTAACACAGCTCCGCAATTCTGCTTAATATCTGCAAAATCCTGACTTCCCGGAAAATTGTTGGTGGTGATGGGGATCGAGCCCGTCGATGAAAAGTAAGTCAATATTCAAAGGCTTCAAAACGTTATTTCTTGTTGTTCTGTGAAATAGCAATGCGAAGACCGATGATAGTGCCAGTGTTGAGCTTTCTAATGAAGCATTGCAATTAGTAGTAATGTTATTATCATCTAACTAAGATATCTTCCACCAAATATTAGAATTCTGCCATTGTCTTGCTGTAGAACAGGGTTACTTTCAGTCTCTTGGGAACACGATTTGCCGGTCTCAGATCGAAAAACACTTCAAAAAGCGGTAATAGACAATGAACTTTCCCACCTGATAGCATCTCGGGTTTTTTTATATCCTGTCTAGAATTTTCATAAATCAGACGTAAAAATGGCCAATTTCGTCAGATTCCGAATTTTTGCCATTGGGTCTAATGTAAAGCATGGCTACTTTCAGTCTCTTGGGAACACGATTTCCGTACCTCCGATTGAAAAACACTTCAAAAGTCGCAGATAGTAGACGATTTAATCTACAAGATAGCATCTCTCTTTTTTCTGTATCTGGTCGTGTATCTTCATAAAACCCTCTCAAATACAGTCAATTTAGCATTAAAGCCTATGGATTTAGAAGAATTTTCATATCCGACTAGATTTGGGCTACCATGTCTGTTGACCGGGGGCCGGGTAATGCCTTTTTGTTGCCCATAATACTTGTCTTGATGGACATAACAATTACTTAAACATTACAACAGGTAATGTAAATACATTGTGCTGTCGATGAAGAATGGTCCTTTCTACCCTACTGAGGTTATCACATCGCTTAGGTTAAAGGGACCCTCCCACCTTCAAAAAAGTTAATGAATTGGCACGAAAGTGATGTCGCTCGGTTCAGAAAGAGCGAAAACGAATATCTACCAAATTTCATCGAAAAATATTCACCGGTTTTCAAGATATTAGACTTTTACTTTTGTTTACTTTTTGGGATCTCCGCTGTTCCTAGCGACTTTATTTGAAAGTGCGGCATTTGTTGCGCGCAAAGCAGCATATACCACCGCGTGCTACCAAACGTTTTAGTAAAAGATTTAAAAATCGTTAGATCTCCGCTGACGTCACAAATTCTAAGGGGGCATACCAATGCACTAGCCCCTTAGAATCCGAAAACTGCAAGTTTGAAATTCCATATCTCCGAATTAAAGCATTTGTCGATGTTGTGAGTACCCAAACCGGTAGGGTAAGGGCGGGTAAGAGTACGCGGGCGATAAGAGTACGCATCAGCTGTTTCGGTTGCTTAGCAACGCGGGTTTGTCGAGTTCATGAAGTGACATGAAGCCGCCAGTGCGTGATTGTCACCAACGGAACGTGGGCGTTGAGCGGCGACGCTGTTGAGTTTAAGGCGATGAATATTATTTTCGAGCGTTATGATATTATTATGGTATGATACAATAATTTTGATACTTGGCAGTTGAGATAAGGTACATTTCCGTGATTGTTGTGGGAAACTTGTGAGGTTATCTGGGGAAATACTGTGCAGTGCAATATTCTGTTTGCGAAGTTTTGCACAACGTTTCGGGGTTGTTTTGTGCGCGAATTGCATGTACGGTAAGAGGACGCACTGTTCGGGAGGGTAAGAGTACGCAGAATTATACATTAAATCGAATATACAGAAATATTAAATTATTAATCTATCGCTCAATGACGTTTGTTTTGTAGGTATATCATTAATGGAGCACTGTGATGCAGATGCGTACCCGAAATTCTTCCAAATACGAGTTATTCTCCCTTTTGATTGTGCATTTTTTAAGAAACACACGGCATGATTATTTCCTCCTGATTTATAGACTTAAAAGATTTATTTTATGCTTTTCTTTTTGGATACTAGAATTAAATTAAATGCCTTCTGAGTTTGAAGTTAAGCATTTGGACAGTACAAGCTGCATAGGTGTGTGCTCATATGCTTGCGTACTCCACCTGCCTGGCGTGCGTACTCTTACACACCCCATGTGGTAAGAGTACGCAACTGCAGCGGTTCAGAAAATGTCAGTTTTAGACCACTTCCATTTACGCTGAAGGATCGTTGCCCCATGGGTTGATGGCTAATTCAATGAAGTTTAATATTTCCTATTTGCGATTTCTTTCTTTCAAATATTAAACAAATGAGAGCAAGAAATCCACTAAGTGCGTACTCTTATACGACTTCACCCTATTTGCAGGCCATGGCCACCAATTTGGCTATCTCAACTCAAAACTAATGTTAAGGTGGGAGTGTCCCTTTAAACTGAAACTATTCATTCAAAATAACTATAAAATTCAAACAGTCAAACATTTCACCCTGTCAAGCACATAATAGCCATTTACACCAGCAGCCCAGCAAGGAAGGCACCATACCTCTTGTGCAGCTTGAAGTGCATCCTTCAACTGTGCACGATGATGCCTGATGGCACTGGGCCTCTCCTTCCGTTTGGCACGTCCTGGTTGACACTGAAACTTGTGCGGAACAGCTTCCTTTTTCAGACACAGGTTTCCTCCAACCATGCAGTATTTTCTGTAGTTTTGGATGTCATCTTCCAGCTGAAAAAGGTTGTTGTGATTGTGGTCAGGGATGTCACATGTGTAGCCTGCAGGTGAAAGTCTGGTGTCACCTATGACCTATTAATCTCATCATATTGACACACAGATCATATACCTATTCATATAATGAGAGAGAGAGAGAGAGAGAGAGAGAGAGAGAGAGAGAGAGAGAGAGAGAGAGAGAGAGAGAGAGAGAGAGAGAGAGAGAGAGAGAGAGAGAGAGAGAGAGTGAGAGAAAGAGAGAGAGTTAGCACTTTTTCATAGCCATAACCATATTTTCTACATTAAAAAATGTACATATTATGATACAAAAGGTCTGATTGCCGAAGTGATCAGACCAGGTGATGTCTTTGGATCTCCTGATGTAACATTTGATTGTTATTCATGGATTGCTTGCAAATGAGGGCCCGGCTTCACCTGTGAAACCACAGGTGAAACCACCTATTCACATCTTGTGAGCTGACGTAATGTGACGAGGCCATACTAACAACGTATTGGGTAGCTCCGGCGCACGCTTGCCGCAACATTGAGTGACGTTATCAGCCTAAAAGTAAGAGTCGGTCAGTGGCGTATCCAGGGGGGAGGCCAAGAGGCCATGGCCTCCCCCTTTGGCATCAAACATGCAAGTGGGCCCTTTGGGTCACTTGAGTACAGTGACGTACCCAAGGGAGGCCATGGGGGCCCTGAGGGGCGCCCTGGTTACCTGAGGGTCCCCCTGGTCACCTGAGGGGTCCCTGATTAGCTGAGGGGCCCCTGGTTACCTGAGTGGCCCCTGGTTATCTGAGGGGCCCATGGTTATCTGAGAGGCCCCTGGTTATCTGAGGGGACCCTGGCTACCTGATTGGTCCCTGGTTATCTGAAGGACTCCTGGTTACCTGAGGGGCCCCTGGCTACGGGGGCCCTGGTAACCTGAGTGGCCCTTGTTATCTGAGGGGCCCATGGTTACCTGGGGGGCCCCTGGTTTCCTGAGATGCCCCTGCTTACCTGAGGGGCCCCTGATTACCTAAGGGGCTCGTGATTGCCTGAGAGCCCCTGATTTTCTGAGAGGCCCCTGGTTACCAGTGGGGCCTCTTGTTATATGAGGGACCCCTGGTTATCTGAGGGGTCCCTGGTTACCTGAGGGGCCCCTAGCTATCTTAAGGGCCCCTAGCTACCTGAGGGGCCCCTGATCCCCTGGGTGACCCCTGGCCAGTGGTCTGAAGAAACCCTGGTCACCTGAAGGGCCCATGTTTACCCCAGGAGTACCTGGTTATATGAAGGGCCCTTGCAGTCACATTAAGGCCCTTAGTTACCCGTGAAGCCCCTAGTATAACCGTCCCCTGGTTATCAGAGGGTCCCCTGGTCAATTGAAAGGCCCTGGTCAATTGAAAGGCCCCTGGTCATCTGAGAGGCCCCTGATTACCTGAACGGCCCGTGATCACTTGGATTCAATGGTATGGCCAGGGGCGAGGGGGCACGTGTCCGTTATAGGGTTTAGGGTCCCCTCGGGCCCGAGAGGACCTGCGGTGCCAATTGGCGGCAGAGGGCCCGCGCTGGCAACGCTTCAACTGGAAAGGAGACCACAGGGCTTGTGACTTGTGAGAACACCCCATGGGCTTTTCTGTAGCCACACTTATCTCCAGAGGGGCCTCACGCCAGGTTCTGAGGGACCTTGCCGGCCTTTGAGGGTCCTTGAAGGCTAATGAGAGATCAGCTGTAAGGGCCTCATACCCGTTTGCTATGGCCCCACGGCCCACACCGGTGTTTCTGAGGGTCCTCACAACGGCGCCTGCGAGGGCCTCCACTGCCACCTCTAAGGGCCCCACACCACTCACCAGTGCCTTTTAAGGGCCTACTTCGGCGGCTCTGAGAGCCCCCACACCGACTCTGAGGGCTTCTTACCGACCTCTGAGGGTCCCTTGCCGGCCTATGAAGGGCCACCAGTAACTTTCAGGGCCCCACACACGCCTAAGTGATGGCCCCCACCAGTGTCTCTAAGCCCCAAGGCCCTCAGAACGGCGCCTGTGAGGACCCCACACCAGCGCATCTGATAGCCTTTTACCGACACCTCTGAGGGACTAACACAGGTGACTCTGAGGCGCTCGCTCGCTTCACTTCCTCATAAAATACCGTGCATTTTATGCATACTTCTCAAGCAAGAAATGATATTTTTACCTGCCAATTTGGCACATTTTCTCAGGACTTAGACAGACAGGCAGACAGACGGACAGAGAGGCCCGTCTGCAAGGGGGACCGGACCCACTGTGCCCAATCCCCTCATCGAAAGGTTCTGGAAACGCCCCTGCCTGGGTTGACAGCGGCATCCGGGTGACCCGTGGGCCCCTTTGAGAGCAGGCGGCCCCCTCCTGGGCGAAATCCTGGGTACGTACTACGTGCCTGCTTGAGTGTCCCAAGAGAAACGATATCTTCAGGGCCTCATCCAAAGTACTGGCCCCAGCATAACTAAAGTCAAACTGCGTCAAACTATCTTAACCCTCGCCCGTAAACGGCGATCTGCCACCTTCGCCCATGCAGGGGGGGGGGGGTTGGTGCGACCCCCCCTTGGCGTTTGAAAACGGAGCGTCGTAGAGCTTAGCGGAAAAGACCAACGGATTGCTCTCGCCGAGATCTCGCGATTGGTGGTATATTTTTTGGTCCGAGGTCAACATTTGACCTACTTTTGACCGGTCAAAGGTCAAATTTTCGGAAAAAATAGACTTTTTCAACTTTCCGCGGCGATTGCGGCAAAACGGTGGGAGATATCGACTTGAAACCTTCACTATCGTGTTCCTTGATCAATTCTCTATCGTTTGGTATGTATTTCGTTTCCCTAGCTCTAAAAAAGTCGGCGGCAGAAATTCGAAAAATCAAAATTTAAATTTTTGAAATCTGATTGTATTTTTGGATTTGGGAGGTCCATTTGCTCCCTATAGAAGCTACTATTGCTGCATATTCCCATTGAGGTGACAAGAATTAGTAAAATAGTGGTTCGGGCGCTTTTCAAAAATAGTACCGGACGCTGTTCCTCTTGTGACGTCATAGCTCCGTGACCTGACCTGACCCGGTCAAGTTTCTTATACCATATGATAGCCAATACTTGCCCCAACATGCATGGGAAGTTTCATCACGATCCATCAACCGATGTCCGTACCACCGGCAGGAAACCTCGGGCGTTGGCACTCAGTTTGTGAAAATCCGGCCGGAGGCTGTTCCCTTTGTGACGTCATAACTCCGTGACCTGACATGACCCGGTCAATTTTTTTTATCAAAAGATGGGCAAGGTTTGCCCCATAAGGTACCCAAAATTTGGCGGCGCTGCGCGCCGCCGTTTTTGCACTATTTCCGAAAAGCCTCAGGGGGGGGGGGGTTGCACTAACCCCCCCCCTACATGGGCGAGGGTTAAAATGCCATTTGATGGCGCTCATAGGCCCTCAGAGGCCAAGGCCGAGCCCCCAGAGGCTAGCGTGGGCCCTCAGAGGTCGCTTTGGCGGACATAAAGAAGCAGAGCTTACATATACTTAAGCGTGGGATCCTTTGAGGCTGGTGTAGAGCCTTAAGGAGCCAGCGCTCAGCCCTCTAAGGCCAGCGTGGGCCCTCTAAGGCCATTGTGGGGTCTTCTAAGGCCAATGTGGGGCCTTCTAAGGCCAGTGTGAGGCCTTGTAAGGCCAGTGTTTGCCCTCTATGTCCAGCATGGGGCCGTCTATGTCCAGCGTGGGGTAGCCCAGCGACATGGGGCTTTCTTAGGTCAGATTGAGGCCCATTGGCCACCGAGACTAGCTTGGGGCCCTCCGAAGACAATGCGGAGCCCCTTTAGGCCAGTGTTGGGCACTCTGTGACCAGCGTGAACCATCTGCGGCCAGCGTGGGGCCATCTGTCATCTGACTTCAGACTTCAGAGACTGGTGCTGGGCCCTCAGAAGCCAGCGCGGGCCTTCATAGGCTGGCGTCGGGCCATTAGAGGCCACCTCGAGGGCCTCGGCAACCACTTTTCAGATCTTATGCATGTTTGGGCCCCTTGAGGTAGGAGTGGCCCTTATAAAGGCCGGCGTGGGACCCTCAGGGGGCATCATGGGGTTCTAGGGACCGGCGTGCGTTCGAGAGCGGTATAGGGTCCTCAGACTGACTCAAAGACTCCGAAGAGCCGGCGGGGGGGGGGTATGAGGTCAGCCATAGCATGGGTCTACTGAGGCCATTATGGGGCCCGCAGGCCAGCGTGGTTCACTCTGTTGCCGGTGTTGGGCTTTCCGAGGCCAGAATGAGCCTTCAGATGCCGGAATGAGGCCAATGTGGGCGACTTAGAGCCATCAGAGTCTAGATCAGAGCTCAACCCGAGTCGGACCCTGCTAAAGTTAAGGGCATCAGCCCTCAACCAGCGCGAGACACTAAGAGATTGACATCTGCCCTTTGAAAAATGTTACAATCGTAAAAAATTGACAAAACATTTTGTTTTTGATAATCTTTAGTGGCCCCGGCACCGACCAAAGAAAAAAAAAACTGTATGCCTACTGCTGAAATAAATTGTATGTACCTACACTTCATACAGAGCTATCGATGTCGATGGCTTTTTCATGTTTTTCTTTTCTTTTTTAGATTGCCGAGTGTGCTTAAAAAGGCTCCCTCACATGGTAAAAGTGACACAGAACCGCACCTGGGCGTGGGTTAAGTGCGTCACTACTGGGGCCCCTAAGGTAAGGGTGGGGCCCCTTGAGCAGGTTTGGCCTCCCCCTTTTCAAGATCCTGGATACGCCACTGGAGTCGGTAGTCAATATAGTAAATTTATTAGGTAATACCATATATTAATTGGATATGGTATGTTTAAAAAAGGCAAATTTAAGGAAGATGTTAACTTCGAAATTCGAGTATTTAGTTAATGACGTCAAACAACATTGCTGCAGTCATGCGCAGGAAATGCCCCTTATGTTAATAGTATGACATCACATTATGCCAGCTTGCGAAAAACAGGTGAAACAGGTGAAACAGGTCGAGGAAATACTTAAAAATTTCCACAAAAATAGGTACTTACATCAAAATGATCCTCACAGCAATACCAGACATTCTTCGGGCTCAAACAGCCTGCATCCTCCCTCCTTGCCAGCCGAGCCCACAATCTGCTTCTCTTCAAATCTCTGGGGACATTCAGAAATATCTTGCCCGGTGTCGTGGAGCTAGTATTCTTGCAACCTGGCACAAAGCACCATTTCCTTGCTTTTGCCGGCTTGGACGTGCTCCTTTCAACCCTTTCTTCATCTTGACCTTGGAGTGTCATGCCACTATCATCTAGAGTTGAACTCATCTTCTGTGTTTTTTTATATATAAGTATGATAAAATAGCACTTCAGACGTTCCACTTACAGATACAAAGCCACACAGTACAAGAAATATCATTAAATAACACAATTTGCGGCCACAGTTCACCTCAACCCCGAGCACCGCAACACGCGTTTGTGCGTCGCGCCAGTGCCTCTCAGTGGTCGCGCTAGGTAGTGACGTCACATAACGGTCGGAGGCACGCATGCCCCGGGGGCACAAAAAATAATGTAAATTTCGCATAAACTAATGGAAACCTAGCATTTTTGTGATGATTTTTGAAATCTACGCATTCAAAATATTAGAATGACCACATTTTATCGTAGCGCACCCCATTTTCCCGCAGCAACGAAAGTAAACCACCTAAGCTATCCTTCGGTGCCCATCCAATTCCCACCAACGAGTCGCACAAACACCTTGGCATGACCTTTTCGAAAGATCCACGATTTCACGAACACGTTAACGAAATTTTAACTAAAATCACCAAGACGATCAGTCCTCTATATTCCATTGCAAAATATCGTTCGTTTTTTTTCAAAAGGACGCTGGCTCAATGTTCGATATCGAAGCTCTAACGTGAGTTTTGGCAGCTTCAGTGTCTGGCCAATAATTTCTTACCGAAAAAATAATCGATTTCAAATTGTGCACGGTAAGTAGCTGGAAATTGTTTCTTAAAAATGAACATACTATGATGACGTCACTGGTGGCAGCAGACACCCAAATGTTCGTGCAATGGGACAAGTGTCAACGAATTTGGGTGAAACTTAGTTTTTCATTGTTGCCGAGCTTATAATCGAGTAAGCGATCAAACTACACCTACATATATCAAAGCTCTCATACCACATACACGAGCACACGACACGGGTATAACACTCAGAAACGACAGCCACCACACACTTGTCAAAACACGAACAGCCAAACACCAACGAGTCTTGCCAACCTTTTTGCCACAAACCGCGACATTCCCGATCGTTTGCGACACACCAGACAGGACAATCTTTTATCTCTACCAAGAGTCAGAACGGAAACCGGGAAGCGTACCGCGCTGCTCTGGAAAGGAATAGACTTACATACGGCTGCGAGAACATCTCTATCGGGAAGTCTAAGAGACAGCTGCAGCGGCGGCTCCTCTCTCAGGTCACTTGAAGCTGATTTTAGTAGGAATAGGCGTGTATGTATGTGTTTTGTTTTTATTTGTATGTGTCGCGTTTTACCCTCGCTTTATGTACCTCATATGACTGAGAACTGTAAAAACCACATCCGTGTGGATAGTTCGTGCTTTTACAAATACAAATACAAAATCTGCCCCCCCCCCCCCAGCAGGGCGCGTGTGGCTGAATAGCCTAGCGGGGCGCGGGTTAAAATGCTTGTAATGTAATTTTACCACCCGAAAAGTGTTGATTATACTTGAGAGCTTAATTAACCCGCGCCCTGCTGGGGGTCCTGGATTTCCACGCCCTGCTGGGGGGGGGGGTGTTTGAACACCCCCCCTTCTAACTCGGCTCCTGGGCCACGTAGCGATACGCGGAAGGCGGCGTTCGAAAAAGCGTCAAAAATAATGAGGAAATCACTTCGGTCAATTTTTTGGTCAGGTCAAAGGTCAGGTCACCAGAGGTCATTGAAGGCAAAATTTCGCCGATTTCCAGGTCGAATGTCGACAATTTCCAAGAAGCCAACGCATAACTCGGGAACCAATAGAGCTACAGCGCCGCGGAAAAGCGCATTCGATAGCCCTATTAACGCCCTTTCTGAGTAATTCTCTCAGATTTGACCTAACGTCAACGGTTTTGCCTGCAGGGGGCAAAAACTGCAAAAATAGCCGATTTTTTCGGAAACAGTTTTTCTGCAATAACTTTTGACCCAAGCCTTGTACGAGCTTACTTTTACCGGCATCGTGTTCCTCTCGTCAAGACGCATCGAATGAACTATAACTTGACCTTGAAAGGTCAACTTGAAAATTTGACCTCAGGTCAAGGTCATGACCTGACCGGAAAGGGTCATGTTGCATATCAGTCGATCCGTATCGTCTAGCTGAACACATCTAAGGCGTTTTCATCGCTCTAGCATGCCTCTATCAAAAGTTATTTGTGAAAAACTGTTAGATACCATTCGTGACCTAAGATGACCTCAGGGCATAAACAGGGGTCACGGACACCATTTTCATGTTCAGTGTGTCTAAACCACTTGTAATTCAGTGTTTGGGAGTGTTTATAATGTCTTTCGTCCAAAAGAGGCGCATTTCAATTTTCTCCCATATGGGAGAAAATTGTCAATGTCAATTTTCAATGAATATAAGTCAATGCATTGACTTATAATGGGGAGGTCGCAAAATTGACCTGACCTTAGGTCATCGATATCAAAATTCTCAGATATACATTTTGTACATGCTATTGCTCTTAGCAATCGCTGAAAGTTTCAAAGCGATCGGTCACTCGGTGTAGCTATGACAGACATTGAAACTTTGTATGAGGTGAGGTCACTTCAAGTGACCTGGTGACCTGACCTTGAATGACCTTGGTCTGAAATTTTCACAACATGTGTAGAATTGATGTATGATAAGGTGTACCAAAAACGGCGGCGCTCCGCGCCGCCGTTTTTGAGATATTCGCGAAAAACCACAAGGGGGGGGGGTGTTCAAACACCCACCCCCAGCAGGGCGCGGGTTAAGCTTTCCATTTGCCAATCAGTGTTATGCACGATTACTTTATAAAAATGCTGAAGTGTAGCAGGCCATCGTCCAACGTTGTCCAGTCTGCTACCTTGTGCAACCAATTCCGAATTGGACATTGGACAAAATCGGAACTCCGAATGTCCAGATTTCCACCTTTTTACGCCCAATTTAGGCGAAAGTGCACACATTTCAGTAACAGTGCAGGTGATTTCGACAGTTCGGCATAGTGCGTCCATGTATTGAATCGCGGCACGATATTCGTCATTGTGCACCCCACTCCGTCAAAGTGCAGTTAAAAGCGGCCCAGGTTCAGACATATTAGACTTAGTGCAAATAAGCCGTCAGGTTAATTGAATTTCGACATGCGGCATGTGGTTACGGCAATGTTCAAATAAATCCGGCAAGTTAAAAATAAGCGATTATGTAAACAAATCTCACCTTCTTACGCAACCTAAGCCCTCAGCAAAGCTCTGGAACTAATGATGAATGTGGGATGTCACGTGAACGTGAAATGCGCTACACCATTTTACGGCCAAATACACCTTTTTTCAATCCGAATCGGCATCCGGTCAGTTAGTTTCGGCAGATCTGCATTAGGAACGTCAGCCTGAGTGCGCTTTCGACAAACCACGCCTCAAACTCGGCATAGTGCGGCAGCGTGACATGGGGCATTTAATTTCGACACTGAGCGTGGTTTCGACACTGGCCAATGGATTTTGGCACACGGCATAGGACTGTGACATCGGGCATTGGAAAAAGGCCAATTTCATTTTACAATGGCAATGGTCATTCAGTTTCGTTGGCGTTATAACAAGCAAAATCAAGCAAATTTCAAACCACATTTTGTACATTGATGCGTTACCAATGCTTACCACTAGAATTTTTAGCATTTTCCTTTTCTTAGACTTCCCTTGTATTAACCCGCGCGGGGCTGGGGGGGGGGTAAATTTTACCCCCCCCCTCGCGAATTTTTGCGATATCTCAAAAACGGCGGCGCGTGGCGCCGCCAAACTTTCAGTACCTTTTCTTACATCAATTTGACACGTTCCCTGAAAATTTGAGCGAAATCCGTCGGAAAATTTTTGAGAAATTGACGTTTTAGTGACGTCATGTTCGCCATTTTCGCCTCAAAAACGGCAAAAGTTCAAACGCCGCTAACATCTTCATTTTTAAAGGAATCAAGACGTAACAAAAAAGGTTATACGTAATTTTACTTTGTCTATCTAATGGCTATCTCGGTTTTTTGAAAATTTTGGATTTTGGCCTAAATTTTTTTTTTTCAAAAAACTGACTTTTTTGGGAAAATCATTATAAAATCCAAAATTTTGAGTCTATCGAAAAAAACGGAATATATGTCAGAGAAGTGGTCTATGTGCACCTACATACCAAATTTTAGAAGAATCGGTTCAAAAATGTGGGAGTTATTCAAAATTTTATGACGTCACGACACACAATTTTTTTTGAAAAATGACTTTTTTGGAAGTTCTAGACCTCGTACGGAAACAAAAATAGCACCATTCGATTCGCCGTGAAAAACTGCATCAGATAGACACCTTTTTAGGCCTTAACAACCAACTTCAAAATTTGACCTCACTTGACCTGACCTTGACCTGACCTCGACCTGAAATTCATCCAGAGGTGGTCCATATCACTTATTGAGTGTGCCTATTGAATTCTATGAGTAAAATGACCCATAAAACATGTGTCGCACATGCCCTTTTCTATATTTTGTTTTTTGGTGACCTGACCTGACCTGACCTGACCTTGACCTTGACCTCTGAATGATATTGTATGCAACGAATATTGTCTTGGTAGCCTAATAACACGTTTTGGGCGATCAGTCTCAGTCCATGACTCCATTCTTCGGCAACTACGGTGCAAGGCCGATACTGTAGAAACTTGCAATTTGTACCCTTGACCTGACCTTGACCTTGACCTCAAACTTTAAATTAAGTACATGTTTTTAGTAGTTCGTGATGAGAGCTTTCGATTGGCGTTTGAATTTTCCAAATCGGACAATTAGTTCGGGAGATAACAGGGGGGGTAAAATTTACCCCCCCCCAGCCCCGCGCGTTCGGCTGGAGACCCCAGCCCCGCGCGGGTTAACCCTCGCCCCAGTGGGGGGGGGGGGCATATGCAGGGTTGTATACGACTCAATCAATAACAAACAATTCAATCACGACAAATTTGGGAAACCAATCAAATCAATCAAGTCAGAGCAGTTTTCGGGAATTGATTCAATCGACTCAAACGCGACAATGAAAGGAATCAATCAACTCAATCAAACGACTCAAACCAAGATATACATTAGGTTTTTTGCCCCACCAACTTGGAAAAGTGTCCATAGCAGTCTGGTGTACCTACCTACCTACCTACCTACCTACCTACCTACCTACCTACAGAAAAAAACAAAAATATTGTCATTAAAAATTATAAATTGCCATGTCATTCAAAGTTTCAATGCAATAAGGAAGGATACCTAGTGATGGACAGGTGGATCATGATATTGAGGTTCAATGGGTAGAATTGGAGCAGAAGTTTCATTTAATGGGTGCAAAATAACCCAGTAGTTGAC